TCATGAGAAACGGGGGAGCGTACACAGAAGCTTGACACTTGAGACTCGCTTTCGGTTGGTAGGTTGTTTGGACGCAGTGCGAGGACAATGGGTGTGGCGTGGTAAGTACGCGACGACCGGCAAGCACGTGCCCATAAAAGGCACTCTTGTCGAAGTTCGACTGTTCCCCCCAACCACACTGAGACCGCACGCGTCCCTCCTCAGTGGCCCCTCCTGCTCCCTTGTTACCAAGCCACAATCCTATCATAAGCACAACAATCAGTGACGGTACGTTGGCTCACTTCCCTTACTGATTCTTGCCCGCGCCACACGTGTCGCTCATGTCGTATCGCAACCACAGCGCCACTCCAGTCACGATGAACAAACCGTCCTTCAGCTCCATTCCGCCGGAGCTTATGGCCAAAGTGGCTGACGAGGTGGTGGCCGACTTGGACGCCACAACGCCCGACCCCGCCACCCGACAGTCTCAGATTGTTTCCTTAACCCACATCTGCGGCAGATGGAGGGAACAGCTTGTGAACAACCGGAAGTATTGGACGGCCATATTCATTCAAACGGTCGACAGTCTGAAGGACCTCATCGCTCGCTCCCGCAATGCCACATTGACAATCGCCGGATCGCTTGACGACAACGACGGTGGCAACGACGTCGAGGATCGCAGCAAAGACAACAAGGAGAAACTAGGCATGGTGATGGGCGTCCGCTCCCGGCTTCGGTCCCTCTGTATTTCGGTCTCGTCCACGGTTTTGGGTAGCGTCGTCGGACAGGTAAATGGTACATCGCCCATCCTGGAGGAGCTGCAAATCAGCGTCACGGGTGCTTTCGGTGCGGCAAACCTGACTCCTTTCACGTCCCCGGTCTTGCGGCGTCTTCGGCTTAGTGGCCTCGACAGCCTGAATGACTTCAGGATGCTCTTCACGCCGACGTTGACTGAACTGCATATCACTGCTGTCAGAATGGCTATGACGACTTTGGATATATGGCAGGTCTTACGTGGTCTACCCAACCTTACGGACCTTAAGCTCAGTCTGGATCTCGGACCTATCCCGATCAACCCTGGAGTTATGATCCAACTCGACAAGTTACCATTCCCCTCCCTGCGGACCCTATCCATCGATCTCTATGGCCTCCGCGACGCGAAACTGCTGCGCGACATGGTCATGCCGCAGCTAGAGTATGCCTGCGTGCAAGTCCTTGACTTCGACTATCTGCTGGAGCAGATCATAGAGTGCATGCAGGGTGTTATCGACGGGATCGGCTCGACCCAGGTGCTCCGCGGCTGCACCATGTATAACCCGAACCCCACGAGCCTCTATTGTATGCTGGCTCAGGATCCGAGCACCGCGACGTGGCAATCGCAGACCACTGGGCTCTGTCTTGTGTTCGAAGGCTACGACTACGATGAAGAGGCCCGGATCCTGGACGCGTTGCGCCCACGACTGCAACCATATCTGCCGGCGGTCAAACACTTGACCATAGAAGACGGTCGGGCATATGTGGAGCGATCTGTCGTGGCTTGGCGACAGCTCTTCAATCTCATGCCAGGCGTGACCGACCTATGCGTCTCCGGTAGGTATACATCAACTCTCCCTGCCGGCCTCTATGCCGTTGATGGGTCGGGCGAGCCGACGGATCCGCTGTTTCCGAAGCTGCAAACGCTGCACCTGGAATCAGTGTGGTTCCGCGATTCTTGGAGGCAGATCTTTGGGGTGGTCGACTTCGTCGATCGCTTCGTTAAGCCCTATCAGCGTCTGGATCGTCCAGAACAACTAAAAGAACTTACTGTAACCGGAGGAATCAACATCTTAGCCGGAGACATTGACGTCCTCCGGCATATCTTCAATATTGTCAAGTGGGATGGTGTGGAGGCGAAGGATGCCTCCCATGACGATATCGAACAGTGGTACGTTTCTCCGGAAGAGGATGTGGAGGAGAGGAGGCAAGAGGAGGCGGAAGAACCCAACTATGAGGCTGATGACGAGGAAGAGGAGTTCGGCGAAATCCACGGAGGGGAACGAAGAGAGCTTCAATGCGACGCCGTTAGCGAGGAAGGGGTCAATGACAGTGCATCCGAAGCGGGAGAGGAGGTTGGGGCAAGCGAGGACTGAAGGCCGAGCATAGCACGTCTTTATGCGTGGGCGCGGCAAGGGGGTAGCGGCCAATTTTTCTTATCTACAATCGTGGGTCCTCCTGTAGTTGGAAATTGTATTTTATATCTGGGTACCGCGCTAGAACGTGAACAGAAAATATCAGTCGTCACCTGTACGATCAGAAAGCAGAACCGGATAAAATTTGCGTAACTGGCTACCGTCATGTCCTGGAGACGGATGCTTCGCTACAGAACCAAATCGTGCGTGCCGAGTTACACAACGTTCGACCCTCACATGGAGCTCTGAACTGTCCCTGATGGCGTCCACCCACCACATCGATCTCGGCATTGATGGATAAACATCATCAGAGGACACGAGAGAACCGCGGACGGGTGTCCACAAGAAGTTCAACGCTTGAATACCTGAGTATCTTATGGTCCACAAGCAGCTCGATTGGCGACGTATAGCTATCTTCCTTTGACGAAATCATTAGCATAGGATGGCGACAGAATAACAGGACAACGTACATCCAACAGCGGTCGAGCGACACGACAGAATGGATTCCTCCGCGACACCATGAAGTGTCAGTGTCGAATGTTACACAAGTACTTACACTCCTCGATCAGCTTGATCTCGCCCGCCTCCGTTTTGCCCACGTCGACAAAGTGCGACGCCAGCAGAGAGAGGGAGTCAGCGACTGCGATGTCATTTGATATCGGCGTCCAGGTAGAACGAGTACATCTCTCCTTGGTTGATCAGGTATAAACCACTCATTTGAGAGTCGAGTAGCGTGTAGAGCAAGTGTCGAAGCAGACGCAATGCCTGCGTCTAATGTTCGAGGCATTTCGTAAACTTTTCGTCCAAGAAAGGTGCAGCCACGATAGCCAAATAGTCACAACGTCAGCCACCTTGCCACATCATTCATGTTTCGGATCGAATTCTCGTCTCGCACTCACTTGCATGCACTCCCGCCTCAACTCTGAATCTGGCGCCAGACCTCTGTCTTTGTGTGGTCTTTACGCAGTTTTTTAGGGGGGCTTACCTTGAGCATAATTTCCATTGAATCGCCGGGTCATTCATATTACGCTCCGTGGTAGTGCGTTGTAAAGCGTAGATCAACTACTCTCGTTCTGTACGTTTGAGCGAGACCGTCATAACTTGGTCACAACTCGAGCTTAGCCATATCTCCTGTAGGGCTACACACTAGAGTCTAGATCTGGAGTACCGTACAGTATGGCTTGACGGCGAAGAGCGACATGTAATCTCTCGATTTCGGATCTACATACAAACCCAAACGGCGTCCGCACGTTTCCTCCGGCCGCAAGGGATGGCTGAGTCTAACCTCCTTCACCGGGCTGATGCTCGACTTCACCTCCCGAGGACACAGGCGGGAGAACGCGTGTGGTAATGTATATGCATTCCCAGTCTATAGCATAAGTTACGCGATAATACATGTACTATGCACACCCCTCCATAGCGGCGGGGGTGCCTGGCGTTAGATACTCGTTACAGTCCACAACCCCAAGCCCAACAAGACGGACGAATCCACAAACACGAGGCGGAGAAGGAGGGGAGCGCGCCATCAGAGGCTCTTCTTGACCTCGGCGCGCAGCGCGTCGGTGAACGCCTTGTCCTCGGGCGAGATGTCGTGCTCGTAGCGCTGGAAGTCGGGGATGTGGTCGACGAACGCGCGCTTGATCATCGTCGCGTGCGCGGGCGTGCGGGGCCTGATCACGCACTCGAACGGGTTGGGGAACGACGCGAGCGCCTGCGCGAAAAAAAGCGAAAGGAAAAAAGAAATCAGTCTCGATGATACACCAAAAAAAAACCCGCGCCGCACGCAGCGCACCTCGGCGTAGTTGAAAATGTCCGGGTAGCGCTCGACGCCGTGCGCGTCCTTCGCGGGCAGGAAGTCGAAGCTCCAGAGCAGGTTCATCGTGTTGATCGCGGTCGAGTAGCTCCCGACGTGGTAGCCCGCGCAGATGCGGCGCCCGGAGCCGAACGCGAGGTTGTTGCGCCGCCCGGGGTCCTTCTCCAGCGCCTTCTTGGTGCCGAACTCGGAGAGGATGAAGCGGTCGGGCCAGAAGCGCTCGGGGTCGTCGTACACCTCGGGGTCGTGGAAGAGGCCGTAGAGGTTCTCGACGATCGTCGCGCCCTTGGGGATGCGGTAGCCCTTGTACTGCAGACGCGCGCACACAGTTAGCACCGCGATATATATATATATTGCCAGACGATGGCAGAGAGAGGGGACATACGAAGACGTCGTCCTGCGCGCGGCGCGGGATGAGCGGGGCGTTGGGGCGGAAGCGGTGCACCTCGTTGACGATCGCGCGGATGTAGGGCAGGTGCTCGTAGTCCTCGTACGTGGGCATGCGGTCCTGGCCGACGACGCGGTCGAGCTCCGCGTGCGCCTTCTTCTGCACGTCGGGGAACGCGGTGAGCGCGAGGATGAGCGTCTGCGTGAAGGACGAGGTCGTGTCCGAGCCGGCCTCGACGAGCGTGCCGCCCAGGTGGCTGCAAGCGATAGCGTGAGGACGCGGGGACGAGAGAACGGTGAGGAGGAGGATGCGCACCCGACCATCTGGTAGTTGTACCCCCACTCGTCGGCCTTCTTGATGACGGTCTCCATGTAGCACCCGTTCTCCTCGCCCTTGCGCTCGAGGCGGTGCTTGGTCTCCTCCATCAGTCCAAAGTAAAGATCCTCCTGCATCTTCTTCACCATCTTGCAGTCCTTCTTCCAGGCCGCGAAGCGCTCGGGCACATACTTCAAAAAGGGCAGGAAGTCGACGGGCGCGTACTGGCCGGGGAAGAGCAGGCGCTCCCAGTGCGGGTGCATCTCGAAGAAGGCGAGGAGCTCCTTGGTGGTGATGCGCGGCGCGCGCTTGCCGAAGGTGACGGAGAGGATGACGGACATGCTGAAGCGGCGCACGGAGTCGAAGAAGTTGGCCGGCTGCGTGAGGAGCTCGTACATGAGCTGGACGGACTCGGCGTCCTGGATGGGCCGGTGGTGGATCGCGCTCTTGAGCGTGAGGATCTCGTGCGCGCCCTTGCGCATGTTCCGCCAGATGGAGCCTGTGTGTGTCGTGTTATACTTGCTGTAAGCAAGTGGAAGCGGGGAGACGTACCGTAGTGCGAGAGGACGAGGTGGTACCCTTCGGTCACGATGTCGACAAAGTGGTTGGGTGGGCGGTCGGCGGTGAGGCCGGAGTTCTTGTCGAAGACTTCGTAGACCGCCTGCGCGGAGCCGATGACGACGACCGTACCCGAACCTATCTTCAGGCTGTAGATGTCGCCATATTGGCGATTCCACTCTGACATTCTGTACATGTACTGAGTGCTGAATCCATGAAGGTAGTCTGAACGGACTCACTTGTGATAGGCGAGGGATGTGGGGAAAATGTGGATGTTGCCCAGGAGGGGGATAGTCGGGGGCCCGGGGGGGAGGAACTTCTCGCGGCTGCCGATCCTGAGCAGGCGGTAGAGGAGGAAGGCGGCGACGGCGACGGCGCCGAGGACCTGGATGGACGGCAGAGGCACGCTCGTCGGGGACGTGGACGACGACATGGCTGGCTGGCGGGTTGGAGTGTCGGAGCCGGCGCAAACGATATTATATATCACTTGCACTAGAGTCCGATCGGCATCGTTGTGCGGAGCCGCTGCTGCAGGGAGGCATGGCGTGCGGTTGGAGGCTGATCGGAGGGCGCTTGATGCCGTACGCGTGCCTGTTCCGGTCTGGGCGGTGGTCTGTCGAGCGGTTTGTTGTAGTAAAGGCAATCAACTCGGGTCGATGTTATCCGGTCCTTTGCCCAGGCGCAACTTCGATGGGCGACCAATGAGAGAGCGAGATCTGGCGGGAATATCTCAGATCAGATACCGATCCCCGCACGCCATCCTGGTCGGAAATGCTGTGCTCTTTGCTGTGTCGACACGCTGCGGCGAATCACATCACGTCTCTTTGATCGTCATCCATCCCCGCTTTCGCTCTGCGAGCTGCTCGCAAGTCCTTTCCTTCGAACGATAGCTCGCAGTAGAATGCGACACGTATCCTGAGTTGTCAAGGACAATATGAGGCGTTAAACCGCTGATTTGGTTACGTAATCAGATCCTCCGCACCGCTGTCAGCGAAGACGCCCGGAGCTTTCGCTCTTTGCCCGCCTTGTACGCCTTTGGACCGCAATAATGATGGATCACGGATGGGTGACCGGCGTTGGCTCGGTCTGCGCGGCGATTTGCCCCGGCTTTGGTTCCCAGAATCATGCGTCTCTGTCCAACAGTGGTTCCATTTCAATTATGGAACTCTATCCAAAATGAAAGACACGGTCATATGCACACACATTGTGTTACGCTTAAGGGACATATATTATATAGCACCTGAACGTCATGAAGGAAACGTGAAACCCCCCAGTTTCAGGCAGTGCAGTGCCACCATAGCGGTCGGTTAACTTCCCGGTCCAGTTAATTGATTGCTGCTTCCCATGCGGCGAAGATGGCGAGTCTTCCCCTTGGGACGGAGCCGTCAATCAGGCACGCGCATCATTCCCTCCTCCAACACCGTCCTTTCGGGCGCGACTGGACCCGAGGGGCGGTCGTCAGCGCCCGGCACAGCCAGGCACCCGCAGCCTTATTATATCGAATCGCCGCGGCCTGTCACTCCTCGACGAACGTTATAGCCGTGTAATCCCTCCCTGCTCTCAGGTCTCTCCTTCCCCCTTCTCATACTCTACCTTTCATACATTTTAGAGCTCGCGTTGACAATGTCTACCCACCACCAACCCCAACCCCAGCCCTCTCCTTCGACTTCGACCTCTCACCTCCCCAAGCATCAGCAAGATGAGGTCATCCCCGTCTTCGCGATGGACAACTTCAAGTTCGCGCAGGCCTTCACCGGCTCGTACAAGTTCGTCATCAACGGCTCCATCGACGTGAGCGTGCTCACCACCGCGCTCGACCGCCTCCTCGCGATGGGCCACTGGCGCAAGATGGGCGCGCGCATCCGCAAGAACGCGCAGGGGCAGCTCGAGTGGCACATCCCGCGCCCCTTCACGCCCGAGCGCCCCGCCTACCGCCTCACCTCCGCGACCTACGCCTCGCCCTCCGCCGCGGGCCTGCACATCCCCGCCGCGACGCACGACGCGCCGTCGATCCAGCCCGACCTCGGCCCGACGCGCCTCTTCCTGCACGCCAGCACGCCGATGACGATGGACGAGTTCACGGACCCCGCGCACGACCGCCCGTGCTTCAACATCCACGTCACGCACTTCCGCGACGGCTCCGTCGCGTGCCTCGGCATCACCTTCCCGCACATCTTCTGCGACGGCATCGGCATCGCGCAGATGCTCTGGACGTGGCTCTCGCTCATGCGCGACCCGAACGCCCCCGTTCCGGCGCTCATGGGCTTCGACAAGGACCCCTTCGCCGCGCTCGAGGCGCAGTACGACTTTTCGGCCGAGTCCCCCGCCGCCGCCCCCGCCGCCCCCCCGGGGCGCACAAAGGCGCAGGAGTGGGAGGACATCCTGTACGAGATGCGCCTCCAGGAGGAGTTCGAGAAGCACCCGAAGGAGACGCGCACGGTGTACCTCCCCGGCGCGATGGTCCAGCAGATGCGCCGCGAGGCGATCGCGGAGCTGCGCCAGCGCAAGGCCGCCGGCGAGGACGTCCCCGACTTCCTCAGCGAGAACGACATCGTCATCGCGTGGTGGATCAAGGTATGCTATCTACGCTCCCCACGCTTTATTCTTAGCACTCACCCCACTCCCCCCGTAGGTCGTCTTTGGCGAGCCCACGCCCGAGGACGAGAAGAAGCCGCTCATCGCGCTCGTCGGCTCCTCCCTGCGCAAACGCCTCCCGGAAGTCTTCCCCCCCAACTCCGCGTACGTGCACAACGCGACGCTCGCCTTCGCCTCCGCGCCCGTCCCCGTCGCCGCCGTCGCGCACCTCTCCGTCGCCTCCCTCGCCGCCGCCTCGCGCGCGGCGCTCCTCGCGCAGCAGCGCGACCGCGCGACGCTCCAGCGCGCCGTCGCGCAGAAGCTCTGGTCGAACCGCGTGGGCAACGCGCCCGTCGCCGCCGCCGCGCACGGCACGTGGCACTTCACCACCACCTGGACCGACGCGCGCTGCCTCGAGTGGGACTTTGCGCCCGCCGCGCGCGGGGGCGAGATCCGCGACGGCGCGCCGGGCAGCGTGCGCGCGTTCTCCGGCGGGCTCGTGCTCAACGGGCCGTTCCCCGCGCGCGGGCTGCTCACGGTGCTCGCGCGGGATAAGGACGGCGGGTACTGGCTCCAGCCGTGCCTCCGCCGCGAGGACTGGTCGAGCAGGACGATGGAGCGCCTGAGGCAGGCGGGCGGCGAGCGCGTCGTGCGCGCGCGGCTATGAGGGTCTTTTATGTGATGATGTTTTATTTATTTATCTATTGGTGCAGCGGCGGGCGGCATTGTAGCATAGTCACGGACACTAGTGTGAACAGTGGTAATGCGCAGCGGTTCCTCAGGAAGGGCGCCCTATATATTACTTCACTCCTTTGTACGGTGCTTCAGTCATATCTAGCGATGAAGGAATCTAACTGGTGAATCTCTACTCGTTGATCACGGTCGTCCGGATGGATGGGATCTGCGAAGGAATAGATGCGAGCGGCCACCGCGATGGATGTGGAAGAAGGAGAGACCTGTCTACGTGATTGTCCTTGCATTGGCTGTGATTTGCGTGATCGTTCAGAATCCGCGTCGTACTAGCAAGTTGACGACGGGGCTCAGACTGAGAACCGTTTCCCAGATCTTGTCACTGCGCTGGCATTTGGTCACTGCATCGACGTTCGAACCACAAGTCGTGCCAGCGCGGATGACCTCCGGCCAGGTATGGGGTCAACTACAGTCTTTAGCTGGTGTGCAACGCTAGCCGAGTCGCGCCGATTCGGACGAGTCGATCACGAGACAAACTCGCGATTGCAGAGACTTGAAGCTTGAAGTTTGATTTCCGAGTGAGTCACGACTGGAACACTTGCGTCGCACGCCTCTGGGCTCAGTACCAGTCGTACGAAGCAAGGTACGATTTTCACGTTCAACCCGTCGCTCCTCGCTGCCGGACAACGACACCACGGTCTCCAGAGAAGGTCGCCCAGATCTACGTCCACGCAGCGTCCAGGCCCGCGAAAGCTCAGATATTGATTGCATAATAAATAGAGTAAAATATTGCGCGATTACAGATCCCATGCAGAGTCCAGACGTCCTTGTGCACCTAGTCAAAGTTGATCCCGCCATCCACCGATATCTACGAGACACCAAGCCACATCAGTTCGCGCTGAATAGCGGAGGGATGGATGCTCACCGTCTGTCCGGTGATAAACCGCGCCTCCTTGCTCGCGAGGAAGGATACGAGGGCGGCGATATCTGCTGGCGTGCCGAGAGCGCCTACCGCCGTCATGCCCAGGAGCTGTTGGCCAGCGTCGCTCCAGATACAACCATGTGAGGGAGACGGCGGGCCCGGACTTACGGCTTCTTTCAGATCTGTGCTCCCGCCTGCCTTGGCGATCGTTTCGTTCATCGTACGGATGCCTTCATCCACTATCACAGCCCGCCGTCAGCGTCTGCCACACGCGCAGCGGCGCGGGCCGCACTCACACAGCGGCCCCTCCACGGGCCCGGGGGCGTACGCGTTAACCGTGATGCCCGCCTTGCCGAGCTCGAGCGCGGCGCTCTGCGTGAGGCCGCGCACGCCGAACTTGGACGCGGCGTACGCAGAGGAGAGGGCGGCGCCCTTCTTGCCGGCCATGGAGGACGCGCCGACGATGCGCCCGCCGCGGCCCTGCGCGAGCATCTGCGCGGCGGCGTGCTTGTAGCAGAGGAAGACGCCGCGGAGGTTGATGGCGTGGATGCGGTCCCAGGCCTCGACGGTCGCTGAAGAGAAGGAGGGTCAGGGTAGGTGCGCAGAGAGGGGGGAGCGGCGTTACTGTCGAGCAGGGAGTGGTACCGCGCGATACCGGCGTTCGCGACCATCTGGGCAATGCCGTGTCAGACTACGTGTAGACAGTCAGACTGCCGCGAGCGCGCGCGCACCACGTCGAGACCGCCGAGCTCCTTCGCCACGGTGTCCACCATCGCTTTCACCTCATCCTCGTTGCTCACGTCCGCGGTTACGGATATCGAGCGGCGGCCTTTTGCTGTGATCTCTGCGACGACTTGCTCGAGCTTTGCTTTCTGCGGCGCGATGTCGTTGAGAGCGACGTCGAAGCCGTCGTCGGCGAGCTTGAGCGCGATGCCGCGGCCGATGCCCTGCGCGGAGCCCGTGACGAGCGCGACGCCCTTGGACGACGACGAGGACGATGATGAGAACATGTCGGTGCGAACAAGTGATCTAGACGTCGAGCGAGTGAATCTCGGGAGAAGGCCATGATCTGAGGTCGGCTCGGGCCTGTATACTGCACACGCACGGCGGGCGAGAAAGGCAATCCAGCGGCCGCGCTGTCCGCTGCGCTGGGTCCCCGATGGCATCTGGCGATCGCCCGATGCTATCTTTAGGCCCGCTGCCAGTGTTCGGGGGGCGTGTGCGTCATCACAGCTTCGCAGTTTGGGTTTGGACGCCCGGTCGCGGGCAGCGGCGATGTATGGAGTCCCATCGTGATGGCCTCGAAGGCCCTCCTCTGAGTCTGTTCTAACTTTGCAACGAAACATGCGAATAACCGCCACACCGCCCCGGGCCCCACGGCTCGTGCGTCGGCCAGCGCTTTTGCCACTCGCCGCTGCGAACATCACTTTGATGCTCGTCGCACTGCGTCCATGGAGGTATCCTACTATAGACTCTCCCCCTGCTAGCCGACAGAAGTCCCACAATCGCTTTAAGTACGTCCTCCCCTCCCAGCGTTTCTCCACCCAACCCGGATCTCTATCCTTTTTTCCCCTTCTCCCCCTTTTCCTTCGCGATGCTGGGCCTCCTTCTTCCTTCCCTCGCCCTCGCATCCGTTGTTTCTTCTGCTACTACGTGCAAATGTCTCTATAATGACTCATGCTTCCCCACATCAGCCGAATGGGACGCCTTCAGCAAGAACCTCTCCCAGCCCGTCCTCCAGGACCAGAAGCCCCTCAACGCCGTCTGCTTCAAGGACAGCGGCGTCTATGACGCCGACGCCTGCGCACAGGTCACCGCCAACGTCGTCAACCCGCCCTTCCTCACCAGCAAGCCCAACTGCCTTGGCTTCGTCAACCTCGAGGCCCTCGTCGTCAACGACACCGTTCAATACTGCCCGCGTCCCTTTTACGACGGAGAGACGACGTGCGACCAGGGCCGCATACCCAAGTTCCTGGTCAACGCCACGTCCGTCGACGATATCCAGAAGACGCTACAGTACGCGACGGACCACAACCTCAAGCTGGTGGTGCGGAACACTGGGTACGGGGCCTTTCACAACGTGTTTATATCGCGCTGACTTGGTTTCTGTACCAGGCACGAACTGATGGGCCGCTCCGGCGGCTCGCAGTCCCTCGAACTCTACGTCAACAACTTCAAGAACATCGACTTTGACGAGCAATTTGTGCCCGAGGGCGCACCCGAAGGCACCGCGAGCGAGTACGGTATGTCAACCCCCCTGTCCCGCCTCTGCCCCCCTCTGATCGCCTCCCAGCTGTCACCCTCGGCGCCGGCGTCCAATGGTTCGAGATCTACGCCGCCGCCGACGCGAAGAACCGCCTCGTCCCCGGTGGCTTCTCGCCCGACGGCACCGTCGGCGCCGCCGCGGGCTGGGTGCTCGGCGGCGGGCACTCCGTGCTGTCGCCCTTCTACGGCCTCGGCGTCGACAACGTCCTCCAATTCACCGCCGTGCTCCCCAACGGCACCCTCGCCACGCTGAACAAGTACAAGAACCCCGACCTCTTCTGGGCGTTCCGCGGCGGCGGCGGCCCGTCCTTCGGGATCGTGACCAGCACGACGTACCGCACGCACGAGAACCCGCCGATCACGGCCGTGTTCTACGCCGCGCAGGCGAACGGCTCGGCTGCGTACGAGCAGCTGCTGACGACGTGGATGGCGCAGCACAACGACATCGCGGACGCGGGCTGGGCGGGCGTGTGGCCCTTCCTCGCGAACACGTTCTACCTCACGTTCTTCACGCCCGGCAACCCCCCGCAGAACCCCGCCGCGAACGCGACGATGGACAAGTTCTTCGCCGCCTCGCGGGCCATCCCCGGCGTGACCGTCTCGCTCGCGCTGAGCAAGGTCTACCCCTCCTTCCAGCAGTGGAACCTCGACAACCTCGTCAACAGCCAGTACGGCTACGGCTTCAACTGGACCGCCGGCAGCGAGAACACGACGGCGACCTCGTCGTGGCTCATGCCGCGCACGCTCACCGCCGCGCGGAACGCCGCGCAGCTCGGCCGGCTCTTCGCGAACCTCTCCGTGGCCGTGCCGTACATGGTCGGCGGCGGCGCGGTCGCGGCGGTCGGGCCCGACGAGACGGCGGTGACGCCCGCGTGGCGCACGAGCGTGTCGGACATGACGGTGCTCCCGGGCTTCGCGACCGGCGGCGCGGCCGCGCTGACCGTCGGCGCGCTCGACGCGATGTACCAGAGCGCGTACGACCAGATCCAGCCGCTGCGCGCGCTCGCGCCGCCGCCCGCGGGCGGGCAGTACCTCAACGAGCCGGACATGCTCGAGGAGAACTGGCAGGCGGCGTACTGGGGCGACGCGCACTACGCGCGGCTGCTCGCGATTAAGAAGGAGGTGGACCCGCGGGATTTGTTGATTGTGAAGAAGGGCGTGAATTCGGAGGGGTGGGACGACGAGCTGCTCTGCAAGACGACGTGAGGACTTCGCTTTCGACGGCACGAAAAATGGGTTTGGGGTTATTATCATCATCACAGCAGGCAATCGTTTGGATCATGGTGGAAGTGTCAAGTAACATCAGTATTTATTGCTCGCGGACTGTATACAGTACAAGCCTTTTAGTGGTTTAAATTATCGAGCAAACTCTCGTTGTCTATGGTCCTTTGCTGCGGGAAGTCAAGTATCGAGGAAATCGATCCAACCAGAAGAGGTATTCTGCTTCGACACTCTGCAGTCGTCTCGCATCTTGGGTATACAACGTCAAAAGGTATTCATTCAATGCGGCCCAAGCAGGATGTCAGATTTCACTGCAGTGAAAGTTCTCCTCAGTAAAGCGGGGCAGAAGCCGGGTTGGTACCGGTCTCCGTTCACATAGACTTCCGCCTTCATACAGAGTTGCCATCGACCTGGCGTTCACAAATCAGGTGATAGTGCCTCAGCGAGAGCAAGGTTTGACCGGGAGAGTAATGCATTGAATGAGCATTCCATTTGAGGTCTTGCTTTGACCGGCCAGGAGCAGTTACCGTCTGTCAGTCAATCCGCGACTGAATACCAGGATCGCACGCAGGCGTATGTATTGGTCCCGGCTATCACGGGTCTGCCATTTACACTAATTCATAGACCATAGCGACTCCGTCATGTGAATGTATCGACTTTGGAAAATGACACTATGAGGCCACCAATGTCTGTGTCTATTTCGACAGGCAAAAACAAGTGGCGTTGCAAGCGAGGCTACGTCATGGCGGCGTTAGTCGGCGATACCGATACGATTACCAGCACCGCCGCCGTGGCCAAATACGGCGCCCCGCCTCTCGGCGGCAATCTCCAATCTACGGTCGAGCGCATCAAGGCACAGCGACGCTCGTGGTGACCGGCGTCTCCCCGATCTCGGACCCTTTGGCGGCAACCACTTTCACTCCAAAAACTCGCTGCAACCAATCGCAGCTCTTGCGGCCGCCTGCTTTATGCGGTTATCACCTTCAACGCGTTCATTGCGGGAGAGCTCGTGCGTAGCCAGCGTAGCTGCGGCCGGTCTGTCCAGATCATCTCCTCGGAGGCAGACTCACCGTCCGGCTTGACAAATCCCTAATTGGGAACAAACTACGGTGAGCACATCGTATCTTTCTGCGATGAACAATGCTGATGGAGCATCGTCTATTGTAGGACAGGCTGCATCCGCGCCCAAGGTCTGCGCTAAAAGCTGAAGAAAATGTCTTGCCCAAGCGCACGAGTAACAGCTACATGACAGTGGTTGAACTCGCGAAGCACAATCAATTGTGAAAAGCTAACGCGTAATGACAAATGGACGTGATTGTCAAACGTGTCAGCACGGCGGTCGGCGCAAAGGATCATCGATACGCCACACAACTGCAGATCTAGTGCCTACGGGCTGCCACAGCCCGTACGGCACCGGGAGGTACGGGAGTCTGTGCAGGTACGGCCTCATCCATTTTGATGGCCACTCGCATGGGTTATCGCTACGGGCGGAAATCAATACGGGCTCTACGGCAAGGGACACAATCCGCCTGCTTTGGCTCTCGGTAGAAAAAGCTAGCATGGTCTGGCTCGAGACTCTAGCTTTCCCTCGACCCGCCTACTCCTTCTACCACATCACCTCACCTCACCTTCTCCTCTTCCCTCGTACCACTACAATGGCCTCGGAACCCGTCAAGATGTTGTACCTCCCCGAGACAATGGCCAACTGGCCTTGGCCCCGCGCCATTAACCCATACTACGAGGAAGTCAGCGCAGAGTCAAATGCATGGTTCCACAGCTTCAAGGCCTTCACCGAGCGCTCACAAGCAGCCTTCGACAAGTGTGACTTCGGCCGTCTTGCTTCCCTCGCATACCCTACCGCGTCGAGAGGTTAGTCTAGTAGAGCAGCTCCGTCGGTCGCGCATGCCTTGATGTCTCGCTTTTAGAACATCTCCGCACGGGATGTGATCTGATGAACCTGTTCTTCGTCGTGGATGAGTACACCGACGTTGAGCCCGCACCTGTTGTGCGCGAGATGGTCGACATCGTCATCGACGCCCTCAACAACCCGCACAAGCCCCGGCCCGAGGGCGAGATCCTCCTCGGCCAGGTCGCGAAAGAGTACGCCGTTTTCCTCCCCCCTCTTCCCCAACTTACTCACCTGTCTCTTTCCCAAGATTCTGGGAACTCGCTATCAAAACCGCCTCCCCCGCCTCCCAGAAGCACTTTGTCGAGGCCTTCACGGACTACCTCAACTCGGTCGTCATCCAGGCTGAGGACCGTGACAACGACACATGGCGCACGGTGGACAGCTACCTCCAGACGCGGCGCGAGAACATCGGCGCACGGCCGTCGTACGTCCCCGGCGAGCTCCATTTGAACCTCCCCGACGAGGCCTTCTACCACCCCGTCATCAAGGAGCTCGAGTACCTCATCGCCGACCTGATCATCCTCGATAACGTGAGTACCCTGCGCAGATCTCTTCGGGTCTCTGTCTCACCATCTCTCTACTGCTCAGGACATCGCCTCGTACAACAAGGAGCAAGCGAACGGCGACGACCGGCACAACATCCTGACGCTCGCGATGCACCAGTTCAACACGGACTTCGAGGGCGCGATGAAGTGGGTGTGCGAGTACCACGAGGAGGTCGAGGCCAAGTTCCTCGACGGGCTCAAGCGCGTGCCGTCCTTCGGCCCGCAGGTCGACGCCGAGCTCGCCGAGTACATCCTCCACCTCGCCAACTGGCCGCGCTGCAACGACTGCTGGAACTTCGAGAGCGGGCGCTACTTCGGCAAGAAGGGGCTTGAGATCCAGAAGACGCGCCGCGTGCCGCTCATGCCCAAGGTCAAGGTCGACCCGCAGGCGAAGATGGACCAGGTCGTCGTGCCCCTGGTCGAGCTGTAGAGTGGTGTTTCCTTTGTTCCTTTATTTATTTTGTCGACGTTTCCTGCCCACAACACACATTGCGGTGGACACTGTATACTTATAGACACAGGGTATTAGAGTTGTTATTTTATTACCATGGTATTTTATTGCTAGATCGCACATGTCGTCTAGCTTCCCTCCAATCACTCGCAGCCTCTCACGTAGCACTCCCTATAACGCTATTTATTACCTGTCATCTCTACCTAGCGCTTGCGCATACAATGATGATGAATCTTGTCGTCGTGTCCAGTGTGTCTCCTCTTGTGCTATCTCACATAAGTGCGTGCTGTTACAGTGGTTGAGTCTGCAGCCAGTTGACCTCTCGGCACATCTTGAAAAGAAGACCTGCGAACTCCATCGCCCACCTCAGGAGAACAATGACGCTAGACGTCAGTTAATTCCCATCTCTCGTACCAGTACTAACAGCCACACGACGTAAACTCTGTCCCGTTGCTTCGAGCATCGTTGCTGCATGTACTGAGGGTGGTCCCACCGCTTTACATTACTTACCCCTTCCCCTTGCTGACGGTGCAAAAAGAGTATGTGGCGCTCTTGATGGGCATATGATCCCCGTTACAACTATGGTCCAATAGAGATGAATTGAAGAAAGATTCATATACATCTGCTGTCCAGTGACCAATCCTCTACAAGTGAATAAGATAAATACGGACGATTGATCTCTATGATGGTCCGTGCGTTGGATACATGAAATGTTATTATATCTGCGGGCAGCAAGGGTGTACTAGTAGCACGCTTGGCAAGAACTGGCTTTCCTATTCAAAGTCGGATGGAGAGACGATATTCACGGTGCCGCCGATGCGCGCGCGCAGCTGTCCGCGGTTATTCAGCCTGCCGAGAACGTAGGCGGTGAATTACGGATATCATGGAGCCCAAGACTTACGCCGCTAGCATGCAGTTCACATAGACTGAAAATATTTTAGGAAAACGTCGATAACAGAGCGAGAAAGGAAAGAACGGCGCACTGACTCTTCGCATGGACGAAGAAGGCTGCGAGCAGGGAGCCGTAGGTGACTCCTGAATTGGCGACATACTTTCAACCAACGAACACACCGGAGACGATGTCAACGTATGAAGATCAGGAGGACGGATGAGGCTCACAAGGATAAGACATAACAGGGTGATGATGCTAGGAGACCGCTCGTCATATAAACGGAGCGGACGGACCTGGGAAATCCCTGACCTCGATAGCAGCCCTGTCGTCAACGTGTACCTTATGAGGGTATTCACGACACCCCTTCGCAAAGTAAGCACAGTACTTCTGAGAAATCGTTACTTGAGCTTACTTGGTATTGCCCATCGTCCTCGAACGACGACTGAACAGCTGGTAGAAGCCTATAATGGCTATCGCTATATCCGCGATAAGGCAGGATACGTTAGCCGTCCCAAGCAAGGCAGTGGTCCCCTCATCGATCGAACCGCTGTTCCTGTCGAAGACGTACACAAGTGGCGTGGGCGCGGAGAAACTGGCGGGTAGCATTGGTCAGTGGAGATATGTTCTATAACGAGGACGAACCTCTTGACGGCAGTGTCTGTAGCGGTTCGAACGCGATACTCATGTCTGAACGTGTGAGTGAAATAGCAAGAATGTAGCACTTACATAACGAGAGCACTGAACGTATGGATGTGAGATGGCCAACAATGCAATGGCTTGATTGGCCTTACCGAAGGCTAGCAATACCGGCACGAGCTACAGACGATGAGAATTGGAATTGTATAAGAGAGCAGTGCTGATGGTATACCGCGATGTACGTCCAGTACTTCTTGCTGACTTCACGCACGGGAGTGATTAGACAACCATCAGCCAGAGATACGGCGAGCATACGTACACTTCAGTAGTCGTATAACGAAGAACCTGATTGCAGATTGAGGATAGTGAGCGGTAACGAATTAAAGGGACGCTACCACTGAACGGTAAAGGTCAGGATCGCCTGGAGAGCATGATGATTAATGCTAGATCGTGAGCGTGAAGCAATCACGGGGCTTACCGATGGTACACCCTGCGCCTAGGTTGTCCATAGGAAGAGAGAAGTGTCGTGGAGTAGAGGCTGTGTGCTTACTTGGATGCTCCTGTATTAGGCATGCCAACAATCCGTATGACTTTTTCTAACCACACGTATGGCGCACCAGTTCTCAATGTATTGATCCGGCGCGTTGCCTCCGCCCTTGTAAACGAGGTAATACCACAGGGCCTGCGTAATCAGGCACTGCTGCAGCGTATCCATCTTCAAGGACGTGAACATCGAGAGGGCTGCGGGGATGCATCAGCTTACCAGCCAGGTGAATATCGCCTAACCAGCAGCCTAATCAAACTATGTCCCCGCAAGATTCCGATATAACATAGGCAGACCAAGCAGTTTATTATCCTCTCGGCCGGATTGAGCGTCCGGCAAAACAGCGTAAATTGAGCGAGAGCGATGCCATACAACCTATACTGCAGTTTAGTGATCGTCACAGTATAGCCCTAGAGTAAAGTACAGATATGAGATAGTAGTGCCGGAGAAGATTGCTCCGTATGTGGGTTCCAACGAGGCCATGGTAAGATCTCGTGCAGCTGAGAAGACCATCTTCAAATTAGCGAAGGCATGCTCCAAACCTACTTGTTATAACCAGCCGCACTCTTGCAGGGGGCAATGACAGGCCCGATACCGCAGTTATAAAAGGGGGAAGGGGTTGGCCACGACGAGCTGAAACACTTCCCGCTGAACTCACACGCGCCTATGGAATGTGCATGCCGGGCGGAAGGCAGTTTGGTCGTTAGTAATAGCTACTGTGGATTAACATGAGCATGTCGGCGAAGTGTCTGCACCGACATGGGTAATTTGGGATCCTCAAGTATATGACCTACATCCTATTCCAGCGCAAGCGAACAGGCTGGTGTTGATGTCCACACGGAGCAGACAGTACCGATGTTGACAAATGAACCTTAGCATTCCACATCTTGTTGTGATAACTAACGTTGAGTGGCAA